GTATTAATCCCAATACTGATATAAGATATATAAGAATTATACTCAGCCAATTCTATCAGCAGGAAGCTGTGCACTCCCAGCAGTGGATGGCAAGTGTCGGGCACTGCGAGTGCTGCGGCTTCTGGAGGAAGGTAAGGGCTCAGGGGCCCAGCACTGGGGCAAGAAGTTCTCTGGATCTGCTGCCATCAAGGGAGAGAGAAATATGCAGCAAACTATTCTAATTTATATTGAATGTGATGTTCATGGTATGAAATAATGCTGTTGACCAGCCTGGGTTGAATGCCCAGGCCTTGCTCCTCCTCGTCCCTGTACCTGGCAAGGCTCAAAAACACCAAGACCTTGAATCCCACAGAGCCTAGCTGGCTATAAAGTAAATGTTTTCATGAATTCAGACACTAGAGTCTTCTAAAAGTGCAGTTTTCCCCAGCCTTATAAGAAAAGTTAGTCCTGTGTTGCTGAACCCAGGACAATAACATGCTTTAACTTTTGGTCAGGCAGTTGGACTAAATGGATAGTTGTAGGTCCCTTCTAACTGAAAAACTATTTTGTTTTCTATAGGAATGCTTCCCTAACTGCTCCTAGTTAAGATTTCATTTTGCGGTCTTGCACTTCAGCTACCCCAAGGCCAGTCAGAGCTGTGGTGTGGTGCTTATATGAGTGAAAGTGATGTTTATAGTGCCTCTATCTGTCAAAGCTCACGTTAAAGTAGTTCTTCAATTTTTTGCCAATGCTTGTTTAGGATGGAAAAAGGGAATTTAGGGAAGATTCATTAAAAAATAAATAAAAATGTACTTTAATTTTAAACAGAGATGGTTCCGAGCAAAAATGCAACAAAAGAGATTTCTAAGAGATTATCAAAGAATCATTCAATTACAACGTGTGATTCGAGGGTGGCTAAAACACAGAAATGATGCAGCAACCGTAATCCAGCGAAATGTACGAAGGTTCCTTGCCTGCAGACAGAGGAGAAAATTTGTGGTTGGAATAACTAAATTTCAGGTAAATTTCTCTTGTGAGAAAGCTACAATATTTTTATTTAATTTATTTTATTTTTCTCCCATGGGTTTTTGGGGAGAGAAACAATGTTTACTTTCGTTGGTATATTTATCAGTTAAATTGCAAGTCAGGTCAGCTTCAGTTTGGATATCAGAGCTAAATGCAAACAGATCCTGAGGTAACATTAAGCAGATACTGGTTGAGGTGACTTATGTGGGAGTGTGTGTGAAATGTATATGCATGTTTGGTTTGGTTTTTTTGTCTTGAAAATCCAGTATTGGGAAGATTAAACACTGAATGGTTGTTACTTAAAAATTAATAACCAAAGTAATTAAATACCTTGTGAGACATGTAAAATAGATTTGGAGTGGTAATAGAAGTTCAATTCCATTGTCTTCACAACTTTTTTTTCTCTTTGTGAAATTCCCTTTCTGTAGGCATTGTGGAGAGGATATTCTTGGAGAAAAACCAATGACACGGCAAAGATTAAAGCTTTAAGATGCAGCATAGAAAAAGCTAACAAAAAAAGCAGAGAAGAAAACAAATTGTGTAACAGAACTGCAATTGCTATTGAACACCTTCTAAAATACAAACATCTCTCTTATATTATTGCAGCATTAAAGCATCTCGGTGAGTATTTTGTTCTATTGTGACTGATAGAATTCCAGTGATGATAGAAACTGGAATTTTTCAGCTGAGAAGAGTTCATAATGACATTTAATCTTTCTGCATGATTGTAAAACCTGAACATATTAGAGTATAATGGGGCTTTTTTTCCAGACTAAAATGAGATTCTAGATTTTGGAACAATATGAAAATAGTTATCTAGAGAAAGGAAATCCTGTATGATTGCTCTGATTTCCTGGCAGCCCTAGTAATACTATGCCTTACATAAGTCAATTATATTCACTATCAGTATATATTCTCCACAGATTACTTGGTCTGTTTAATTTTTAGTCTGGAATATTAAAAGTATTAATTTAGAAAGACTTGTTTCAGTCAATAATTGTGGTCTTTACCTCTTTGCGCTTCTATTTAAAAATAAGGAATAAAACTGGTTTGCGATTGAATTGCTTGAGCTTCAAAGTTTACTGTTGTGGGTTTTTTTGTTTGTTTTTTTTTTTTAATTATCACAGAGGTGTCTACCAGGCTGTCTCCCCTCTGTTGTGAAAATATGGCCCAGAGCAGAGCAATCTTCACTATTTTTGTTCTGATTCGAAGTTGCAACCGGAGTGTTCCATGCATGGATGTGATCAGATATTCAGTTCAGGTTCTACTGAATGTTTCAAAGGTAACTTTAATATTTTCTTTTGCAGATTTATAGCTGTAGATTAGTTCATTGTAGTTTTTAATTATCCATAAAATTTCTGAATGAAATTGAAACACCAAAATTAATAGTTTTGAATAAAAAAAGGTTCTGAATATTAACTGTATTATTTTGAAACCAATTATCTACTTGTAATAATTATGATTTAATTTTCCTTTTGGCAAAAGAAAATGACTCCATGGACTTTCAAGTAATAATTTTTACTTTTAACTGATTACATTGCAAGGTATCCCAAATATTGCATGAAACTGTATAGAAATGGAAAACTAGTAGTTAGGATAGCTCTGAAGTTGTTTTTTTTTAGGTTAGAAATGTATATGTTCCATAAGACAGGCTACTTCTCCAAATTTTTGTCACATAATAGGCTATATTTACACTTTTTGATTTCTTACAGAACAGATTATTTTCATAACTACTTGAAGTTGCTTCCGTACTGTAGTAGTACTGTAGTTCTTCAGTACAGATTGACTGTTCTAGAGTTTTGTTACTTTGAGATCTAAAATATTTGCTAATCATAATTTTTGATCATATATCCATTGTACACACATTTACATTCAAATTCTTTTATTTTTATTTCAGGAAACTATTATCATTTAGGCTAAACTTGTTTTTAAATTTTGCTAAATTTATTAGAATTTATTGCTCTATTTTAAATGTAAAATCAGATTCCATGGCCCTCTAAACAAGGAGGGAAGCACAAAGGGCAGCTTTTTGTAACCTGTTACAATGCTGTAATATACAGAAGTGATTTTTATGGCTTGGATGCCAGATCAATTATAGATTTTGTCTATAATTGGGGAGGATATGGATTTTGCTTTTCCGTCTAACCCCAAAGGTATTTGAAAGATCTGTATAAACTCTCTTGTCTCTTTTTTATATAACAGTATGAAAGAACTACTCAAGCAGTTTATGAAGCAGAAAACTCTATAGATACATTACTAGACCTACTGCAAATTTACAGAGGGAAAGCTGGTGACAAAATTTCAGAGAAAGGAGGAAGCATTTTCACAAAGACCTGTTGTTTGTTGGCCATCCTTTCAAAGGACTCGAAAAGAGCTTTGGTAAGACTTAAGTGTTTTGGGTTTAATAATTTGATCTAATATGTTTCTCTTGCATGTTTTGGTGGTGTTTGTAATTTTTTTTTCTCTCAGTCTCTACCGTACCTATTATGACTGTACTATTAATTATCACTAAACCCTGATTTTAAAAAAATGCTTTTGCAAGATGGTGGAAACACTGTTTTGTGCTTTGTGTGCCCTGGTCACCCAGAGCTATTCAAGAAGACATTGAGGTTCTGCTCCTGCAGTCCTTACAGGGTCATGATACTGCAAGCCCTACTTTCCACAGGGTTTTAATGACTTTCTAGCAATTGCTTAGCATTAGATGTGGTTTAGTTGCCACTTCAATTTTTGTTCCATTTCTGAAAGTTTACTGTTCCTTTTGAGGTAAAGTTAAGATCTTTATTTCCAGTAACAACTGGCAACATATAATTGTCTGTGCCTTTGTGTTGACATGCACTATTTTAACAGAGAAATAACCTGGTTCTGAAAGAAATTTCCTTTGTTCTTGCCTATTGCTAGAATCCCTAGTAAAGTTATTAGGGTAGTCTGGGTTCTAGGCTATATATTCAGTAGCTGTTAGTCCTTCAGATATTAGCACTTCAGTTATCCAGTCACCTCTGACCATTGCATTATTCTTTCATTGCTATGAAGATGGGTGCAAACACTAATTTGTGCCTCTGTACCAATAATTGAAGGCAGTTGCCAATGACATATGTGACATTTAGTTTTAATGAGAGATTAGTAAAATCTGACTTGTAAGAGCTTGAATTTTCTGAGATCTGATCTTTTACTGTTATGCAGCTTACGTATTTTGAAAGCATTAGACCACTGACTTGTAGGTGTGCTGGGTTTAAAGCGGCTTCACTGCACTTGTGGGTAGCAGTTAAATTATAACCATTTGGTTTTCATTGAAAAAAAAACAGATTTGTTGATTTGTTAAGTTGCTTTCGAACTTGTAGTACTAACTGTGTGCTTTTCTCAGGAAATCCGAAGCATGCCAAGAACTGTTAGTTGCATTCAAAGCCTATATAAACTTACAGCTCATAAACACAGAGTGGATGCAGAGAGAACACTGGTGAAGCAGAGAACAAACACTTTAAGTGCAACTTCCTTTGTTCCTGTAACTCCACTGAGAATAAAAACGGTTTCAAGGTAAGAGCTTAAAAATTAGTCTGCTGGTTTTGCTGTGTCAGTATAATATTTTAATGACAAGCCACTCTTATTTTCACAGAATTAAACCAGACTGGGTTTTGAGGAAAGATAACATGCAAGAAATTGTGGATCCTCTGCAAGCAATTCTGATGGTGATAGATACGCTTGGTATTGCCTGCTACTGAAATGTAAATGATGTATATGAAAATGTATTTGTACAGCATGTATGTAGTCGGCAGCTAAATGATTTTAAAAGACAGTAAATAAGTGTCAAGCTATCCTTGAAAATGTTTTTTCAAATTGCAATTAAAATTTCTGTAATTTTTTTATATGTATACAGCTTTATAAATTGTATTTTGTACTACTACTTAAAGGAATTGTACAATAAAGTCATAAGCCCTGGAAATTTCATTAGTGCAGTACTGATTCATTATCACACACTGCGAATCTTAAAAATAGCATGGGATTCCTCACTGATTAAATCTTGTAGAATGCTATTAAAACCAGTTGTTTGCGTGGGACAAACAACTGGCTTGTGCGTGGGTTGTTGTGCTGGCTTGTCTGATCTGGAGAGGTGTAAGTAGGAAGAGGCATAGGCTGTTTTGCGGGAGCTTGGACTTACTTTCTAGTAAGATTTTCAGGGATCATATGTGACTGTAGGGAAAATTTTTTATTTTTTATTTTTTTTTAAATTCACATTTTTTCTAAACAATACAAGATTATAGTAGAACAATGGGATATTGTAAGGGTGAATTTAGAAATTGTGACCTGATATTTTAAGGGAGGTGATTTGTGAGTGATTTCTTCCTATCAAGTGAGCAGTACATACAAGGACACGTCTCATCTGGCTGAACAGAGGGTGTTCGTCCTGGCATCTCCCTTACCTTGTGCCTCGGAACTGCGTTTTCTTCAAGCAAGGCCAGGACAGCAAAAACTGTAAAATTATACCCTTCTACTCCCAAATTTAAGATTATGTCTCCCAAGGGTGGAATGTGATGGTACATCAACTGGTAGCCATTACTCAGTTTGGTGATAATGCATTGTAAATAAGATCCTTTGTTTGTTTGTTTGTTTAAAACAAGACTCCAAGGGTACTAACTGTATACAACAAAACCCAACAGTCAGATAATCCTAGTGGGTGTGTACTTAACATAAGAGCCTCCAGAATGAATAATATATAAAATGCAACTGACTGGTTATATAGGGGTAGGCTGGAGGATGGGGAGAATTTTCTGTTTCCTCCTATTTCAGCCAAGGTAAATAATCTGATAACGGAATGCCCTTTAAACCTAGAACTCAGGAGGTTCTGAAGGGAACAGTGTTCAATTAGTTAAATTATTCCATAAGCTTGTTGCCTGGTTTCACTGTAAAATGATACATTCTGTCGTCTTTACTGATGTAGAGCATGTCAAATGGAAGCTGAATTCTGCGAGTCTAGTGTTAAGGTATTTGGAGAACTAAAATAAATGAAATTAGTGTTCAGTGAAATAACATGTTACAAAATACCAGGGACACCAAGTCATTCGTGGTTCCCTTTGAATAGCCAGTTAATTATTTACGAAAGTAATACTTATAGAGTTTTCACAGGTGGTGGAAGCTGTTGATGGAAGCAGTAATGAAGATGAGATGTAAAAGCTGTTTTTTCTTGCTAGTTATGATGTACTCAGGCAAGCTCTTTGCAGAAGGTAAATACACTGAATGCTACTGTTAATAATTGTACATTGAATCTAGAACGTGCACTTTAAACTAACTTAAGTCTTTCTTATCTTTACCAAGAGTAAATACTGTTTTTTAAATGTAATTTTGTTGTGAGATAGCTGATGATCATGACTCAACTGTCGCTGTAGCTCAGGGCTACAAATTCAAAAGCTATAATATTGAAAGGTTCAGACTTTTATTCAAGAAAAAGTTTCTTTTGAAATTTATTTGGGTGGGTTTGAGGCACTTATACAAATTAAATTTTGTTCTATTAAAACATTTTATATATTGTGCTAAGTGTCTTGGTGATTGTAGTGTTTTGGCTTATCACAATGCAAGAGAGTGGAAGTTAAATGGAACCCACAGAAGCCAGTCTGGGCTGGGTTCTGCATTTCTTCTCCCTACTTTCAGTATTGCTTAAAATTCCTGTGTTTATACAGTTTGCATACCACTTGAACTGCAAGTTCATAAAGGTGTGAACTGTGTATGAGGGTGCACCTCCATTAATTGAAAAAGATGCATTTCATGTGGTGTCTGCTAATGTATATTTAACTCCAACATTTGTTGCAACTCCCTCTGTCTTCACTAGAGTTTTGACTTTATGAAAACAGTTGAAATTACACTGATACCCTTTGGAAAATCAAACCAAAGGTATGTAGGTGGCAACCATTTCTGTCTTTTAATTACTAAAAATCTTAATTAACCTCAGGTTTGGTGGTTTTGTTTGGGGTTTTTTTTTTATTTCGATGTGATACAGTGGCTGTGTGAGGAAGGAGGTTATTAAAAAAAAAATCTTGACACTTTCTATTTCTGAAAAATACTAAATTTGCAGAAAATTCTAGTCAATGCAGTAAATTCTAGTGACATTATTGAGTGGAGGAGCAATAGTTTGTTATTTTGGTTCTAATACATGTAGGGTGAATGCAGCAGTGCTGTCTTGTGGCAAAATTCTGCCCAATTATGACATTTCTTCAGCAGGTTTAACTCCTGTGTTGCCCCTGGCAGTTGACAACACTTGCTGCACGAGCAGCTGTGGCACAGCTCATCTTCACACTGTTGCCACTGGATTTTAGAGCAGGCATCAGTGTGTTTATGCAGCAAAGGGTGCTCGTGCTGACATCATCTGGGCTAAATAAAGAGTCAAATAAACGTGTCCTGCATCAGTTTTGCCCAACTCATATTAGTAACTTTCAATCTACAGCTGATATTACTGTTAAGCTAAAGAACAAAAGCTGATATAATTGTAATATCTCTTAATTTCAGTAAGTCTTACAAGACCCTTCATGCTTGTACGCATTCAGAATTTCACTCACCTTGTTTGAAAGGCTGAATCAGTCCAACTCATATTAAATAAATTAATGCAAAAAAAAAAAATCTTATCTGGGCTGAGAGTTTTAGTGAGAAATATATTTATCTTTTTGCAGATAAACCTTGTGATTTGCCACACATCGAAAATGGAAAGATTGGCCAGTACTACTATAATTTCAAAAGTTACTATTTCCCTATGCGTAAGGAAAAAAAGCTTTCCTATTCTTGTATGGTTGGTTATACAACTGAAACTGGGACTCAAGAGGGAAGAATAACTTGTACAGCAAAAGGATGGTCTCCGCTGCCACGATGCTACAGTGAGTGAGCTCTACTGACCTCATCATGGCTTCTAGCAGGAAACTTCTAGCTGGGCTTCCTTGACCATACAGGAACAGAAGCTGCATAGCAGGAGGGATCACATGAGTCACTCAGGGCAACAAGGTGAAATCTGTTCTTTGTGTCTACAAACTACAGATGTTTGGATATGGAATATTTTTACAAGAATAAATATTTTAAGGGCTTTTACCATATACGTTTTTATAAGAAATCCAAGAAAGTTGCCCAGTTTCCCTATTTTGGGAAAACTACTGGGAAATTTCCTCTCAGATGTGTACCCTCTGGAGCTTCCTTAGCTCTAGACTCCTTGGTTGTTGTTTGAGGTTATTACCATCGGTTTAATGAATTGCTTGATGATGTGGTAGGGTTTCTTTAATAGGTCAGGCAAGCAAGATTAGATCAGGAAGGCTCAAAGCCCCCTTCTCTTGCTTAGCAGAGAACCAAAATATTCAATTAATTCTTTCTTTCTAACCAAGTTGTCTCCTTCCTTTCAGAAAAATGTAACAAGCCTCTCTTGGAAAATGGCTTTTTTTATGGTACAGAAATGTACTTCAAAATACAGGAGAAACTGCAATACAAATGTAATCCAGGCTACCACACTCCAAGCGGTGGCACCGAAGATACAGTACAATGTCAGCCAGAAGGATGGTCCTCCCAGCCAAGCTGCACCAAAAAAATTGGTAGAACTCTGCATTTTTCTCCTTTTTTAATTTGTCTTGTTTACCTGTAATTCTGCTGTTCTTGCTGCACCCACAGGGCCAAACTGCCTGTGTTAGGTTATCGTCTGAGCTCTTCTAAAGCGGGTTGTCAGCTGTACTGCTTGCAGTGAAGTTGTCAGATTTCATATGCTGCTTGGTTTATGAATTGGTATAGATAAAATTATCCGTAGAAGGAATCAGTATAGATGAAATTGCATTGGTTCAAGTAAATCTATTGCTGTCCAAACTTTCTTCTCAAATGAAGACCAGAAAACTTGTATAAACTACTGCATTTTTAATTGTTGGTTACTCGCAGAGATTTTTGCTTCATAATTGCCACTTTTAAGAGGTATCTAAGGAAAATTTTAGAAGAGTAACTTAAAATGAAAAGAGCAATTAATATTATGCATATGCTTTATTTATTTAAGAGTCATGTCAAGTACCCAATTTGCATCACGGCAGCTACTTCACAGCCCAACAAGAGCTTCGACTGAACGAAACGCTGCAATACAGATGTGACGAGGGGTACCATACTGCAGGAGGAAACACCACAGAAGAAGCAGTGTGTCTGGCACATGGGTGGTCCCTTACTCCAAACTGCACTAGTATGTAATGGGCTGGAAAGTAATTCCATTTGAAATGTGATTTATTCTACAAATGAACAAAAATTTACAAAAAGGCTTGTTTTATAAGCTGTTGGGGGTGGGGAAAGCCTTCCTGAACCGGTTTTCACTAGTGTGTCTTTTTTTTCCAGAAATAACTTGCTCCTCTCTGAGTGCAATAGCACATGGAGGCTTCTATCCTGTGAAGAAAATCTATGAAGAGGGAGATGTAGTTCACTTTTTCTGTGAGGAAGGTTATTCTGTCAGTGAATTTGACCTAATTCAGTGTTATTATTTTGGATGGCATCCAAGCCCCCCAGTTTGTGAAGGTATGTTATTTTTATAGTTTTACTATGCCAAATTTTTAGTGAAATACTGGAACCTTCTTTCGCAAAATGTAGTATGAATACAAAACAAAAATATGCTTTTTGTACCCGTTCACAGCCTAAATAGAAATCAAGGGGTAGCTGAAGGACATGGAACCAAGGCAGCAGGGAGGGGGACAATGAAAATTGGAATTAGTTTTTGGTGGACTCTAACAACAGAGCAGATACTGTCTCTTGCTGTTGTTTGTCTGTACTTTGTATCCTGAAGAAGCAGGAATCAACAATGGCAGAGAAGCTTTTCAGCCCCTGGAGCTCAAGCTAAACCACGTTCAGATTACATGAAGGTTTAATCCCACTTTGTGAGGTGGGATGTGAGGTTTCTTTGGAGTTTGGGGATTGTGGTACTTTTCAGTTTTACAGCTTCACCAAACTATATGTGTTTTCAGCAGGATTCACTAGAAGGGTTATCCTGAAGACAGAAACACACCTTTAGCAATTACTGTCACATCCCCAGTCATTGGGCGATAATGGAGATTATCAGAAAAGAAACCTTCAAAAGAATGAAAGGTCCAGTGAACAAGATGAGACCACAGAAAACAGTACAGATCGACATTTAGACTAGCTGGGAATTTATCATATTGTTCAACGTACCTTGATAGTTACGGGTCATGGTCTTATCCTGGATATTGCCCCCTTTATTACTTCTGAGCTTTAGGAGATCTCACTGCATCATGGTAACAACTTCTCTGCTTTATATATAAGGGATGCCCGGTGTCGATGACAGAGGATGGGACAATGAAACATTTTTATTGGTTCAAGCTAAACCTATGGTATTCTTTTCCAATATATTTTTACAGGATTTTTTGTTGTGATGTATGTAAAGCAAGTTTAATAATCATCTGGGGGGTGCTTGAGATTAAAAAAAAAATATATATATATATTTAGACTTTGATAAATGTATATGTGTTAAGCACAGTTTTCACTAACGTTAGTGTTTTGTAGTTCTTTTATAGCTAATCTTGTAGAAAAATATATGATTAACTATAAAGATGAATTTCACCTTTCTTTCCTAGAAGATACAGTAGCATTTAAAATGCACTAGAATCTCTCAATTAAATGGCATGTGTTAGGGCCCCAGCCCTGTATTTATTCTGATGACATGGCAGGAATTTTTCTTGATTGAATGCAGGGAAGATGGGAGGCTCAGGAGAATGAAAACATGGCCTAGATCTAGTTTTGAGGATACAGTAATCACAAACTTAATTTGGGGAGAGGAAATAGGCTATGATTACTGCTGCTTCTGTAGCATTAGAATTAATACATAAACTGCTTTAAGTATTACATCATTGGAGGGTATGGGATATCTCTATTTCCTGAATCTTCTATTTCCTATTTTAAAGAACTTTTTATTGAGTTTATGTGGAGGAATTACAAATTTGTTTATAGCAGTGCAATAGCATAACATCTCTATTTTTATATTTCTTGAATATAAAATCACATTTTTGTTCTTGTCTCCCATTTTGTTTGGAAAATGGAAGTAAGCAAATACTCTGGATCAACCAAAAATGTCTTTTGAGTGATAGCCTTGCATGATGTATAGTAAAATTATTTGGGTGCGTGGTTTTGATTAGTGAGAAAACAATATGCATTATATTTTCAGATGTAAAAAATAAATGCCCTCCACCACCGTTTCCTCCTCATGCCCACATCACCACAGTTAGAAGAACATATCATAATGGAGACAAAATTCATATACAGTGTCAAAGTACCTTTGAAATAAGAGGATCTGAGGAAATACGATGTGAAAAAGGAAAATGGACATCACCCCCTCTTTGTTTCGGTTAGTACTTTTGTGAAGACTGACAACTGAACCGAAAAAAATTCTTCAAACAATGCCTTAGCTTTCTGGAGAGCCTTAGTTTCCATATCTGCAAAATTGTTTATGCCTTCCTCTGTTAAAATGCTTGAGAGATAAAGTGCTGCACAATTTGCAGACAATCTGTTGTTCACAGGTTAAAAAGAAAGGTTGAGGTAGGCTCATTCAACTGACATCTGTGTTGTGTAGTTCTTCCCTGGAATATTGATTTTATTATATCTTACAATGTATAACTGTCTGTCTGTTTTGGTATTTGAAAATTAGTTATTTCTGAGAAAACTGGTTCTAAGTTTCTGCTATGGCTATAGGAACTGTGGATAAACAGGAATCTGAGGCTCCACCACCACTTGAGGAACAGGCGGCAGTACGGGCAAGCAAAACATACCACAGTGAAGATATGAGTAGGTGAACATTGCTTTTCTATTTAAAAGGGACATAAATACTCTCCAATGCTACCATAGGCATTTTATGACAACTCTTACTGCTCTTTCGCTGTAGTACAGTTCATTAGTCTTGAAAATGTTTGTATGTGTTACAGATGTCAATGTAGCAGTCTGACTGACTGAATGAAGGGCCATTGTTGCTTGTTTCTAGTGATTACAGTTGCTTGTTTCTAGTGATTACAAACTACACCTGTAATCTCTGCTGTATTTACCTCCAGTTGTTTTGTATGCCTTCTGTTAATGTTGTCTGAACATGCAAATTCAGGAATATTTTGCTGATCCTTTGATTAATAGTTCCAGTGGGGTTTCTTTTCTTTATTTTGAACCACACATGGGCTAAACATTTCAAGCAACAAAGAAAGAGAAACATCACAGAAAAAGAACCAATCTATATTAAGTGTAAACCAGCAAGAGTCAAGAGTGGATATAGATGAGGAGTCTAGAGAGAAATAGAATGCCTGTCTGCAATTCAGTAAGGCAAGTGTAGAGTTTCTGAAAATGAAATTATATTGGTTTAACTTTTACTTGTGTGAAAATTTTTGCTCAGTCTATTGCTAGTCTGATACTTTTGCCAGTGTTAACATTGTTTTAAAGATCTAATTACCTGTCTCCTTACCTTGTATTAGAAATGGAGCAAAACTGTACCTCTCCACCTGTGATTAAAAATGGTGGTGTTCTTGGTCCGCTATTGACAAGTTACAAGAACGGTTCCTCAGTAGAATATGGTTGTCAGCGCTACCATTCTTTGGAGGGACCCAGTACTGTTTACTGCAAACAAGGAAACTGGACAGAACAACCAACTTGCTTAGGTAAGTCTCATCACAAAAAGTTCTGTCATACCTAATATAGAAAGGTAAAACTGGAAAGAATTTCTAGATCATCCTTTCATGACCACCTTTTCTCTTCCATTTGAATTAATAAAGATTCCAGGAACAAAGGGATGAACCAAAATCAAGCATAGCTAGGCCAGTCCTCCTGGGTGTCCTCTGGCCTGCTCTTACAAACAGTCAATTAAATGGATTCCTCTGTTTTCCTGAGTGAGCTGTTCTAGCATATACCTATCCCTGTTACCTAACAGGATTCTCTCTTGCCTTTCTCTCACACTCTCCATTTAGTGAATTTCTTCCTCTCCTTCAGTAAGATATTTAGAAGGAATGACTGCAGCCATCTCCAAAATGGCTTTTAGATATGACTAACAAGGAATACAATGATTTCTTGGAGTTTCATTTTTAAACCTTGAGCCTTTGTTTTTATGATGTGTCTTTATTATTTCGTTCTGGACTTTCTCTTTTGTTCTGTGTTGCTCTTATGTGTGCTGTTCAAAACAATGTATAGAACTCCCATTAAGAATTTTTAGGAATACTACTTCTGATGAAGTAGTAGAAAGCAAGAGTTGTTTGTTTAGCTTTCCTTCCTTCCTGTAATGAAATAATTCTATTTTACTAGCATCCTTTCTTAAATTTCCTAGAACCGTGTGCTCTTAATGTAACTGATATGAACAGCAACAACATAGAGTTGAAATGGAGACAGGAAGAATTAATTTTCCTACACGGCGATCTGGTGGAGTTTGAATGTAAGCAGGGATACAGTTTTCTCCAGACTACCGTTCCCTCCCCTGGGAGGACACAGTGTAACCACGGCAGACTGAAATATCCGCAATGCATTATGCAAGGTAAAACAATATTTTTTTTTTTTTATTGCCTTTTTAATTAATCAATCTTAGACCTGTTTAGAAACAATTTGCTTTGGCAGTGCAGGCCTAGAATCTGTTGTAAATAACAGCTGGTTAGGATGCAGCAGTACGGATACACACAGATATCCTTGCACAGGACAGCTGTGCTGTTAAATGTATCCAAGTATGGAAAGAGAGCACACCTTTCTGTGATGGGGAAGGCTGTAGCGAGGAGGGAGGAGCTGTTCTCAAAGCTCTGTAGAAAGACTACTGTAAACAACTACATGTACACATGGGATTTCTTATGGTTAGAATTAAGCAGGAGATGATTGCATTCTGATCTGAGACATAATGAAATAGTAAGAAAAGACACTGAGAGCTGATAGATACCTAGTGTTGACAGGCATTTAAAGCTGATGATTTGCTATCTTCTTAAGCTGAATATTTCTCGATTTTTTTAATGTAATTCCAGCTACTGCAGAAAAATGTGACTCGCCACCTTCTATTGCGAATGGAGCTCTTACTGTCCCACCCCTGACCCAGTATGACAGTGGTTCTTCAGTTCAGTATAGTTGCTCTGACTATCATTTTTTGCAAGGATCTGAGAGAATCTACTGTTCTGAAGGGCAGTGGACTTCACCACCAGTGTGTATAGGTAAGTCTGATAAGATAAATAAGCACTTATTTCTCTCTATAGAGAATAGAATAGTTTGGGTTGGAAGGGTCCAATCCCCCTGCAATGAGCAGGGACATCTTCACCTAGATCAGATTGCTCAGAACCCTGTCCAACTTGACCTTGAATGTTTCCAGGGATGGGGCATCTACCACCTCTCTGGGCCACCTGTTTCAGTGTTTCCTCACCCTCAGAGTAAAATATTTCTTCCTTATATCTAGTATGAATCTACCCTTTTTTAGTTGAAAACCATTACTCCTTGCCCTATTGCAACCAGCCCTGCTACAAAGTCTGTCCGTGTCTTTCTTATAAGCCCCCCCTAAGTATGAAAGACTGCAATAAGGTCTCACCAGGGCCTTCTTTTCTCCAGGCTGAACAACTCCAACTCTCTCTAAATTCAGATACTTATAATTTATAAATTGAGTAGTGTCAACTGGGACTTTAAGATCTCAACTTCATTTTTTGTTCAGTTAGAGATAATAGCATTAAGTGTAAGCTTGTCTGGCTTTTTTCTTAAATACGGTATGCCTGCAGAATCCAAAATACAGTGATTTCATGTATAATAAGAGAATGGGAAATAATCTACAGTTTTACGGTAGACTTGTCAAAATGATACATTTCAAAAATGACTGATTGATTAACACGGATTATGTCTCTTTCTTAGAGCCATGTACTTTGTCACAAAGTGAAATGGAAAAAAACAACGTACTGCTGCAAGGGTTCTATAAGAATCAAGTTCACTTTTACCATGGGGACTATGTTGGATTTTACTGTAAAGAGAACCACTTTGGAGCAGAAACTGGTACAACTTTATTTCAAGTGCAGTGTAAGAGAGGACAGCTGGCGTATCCAAGATGCATTGAAAGAGGAAAATAAGTATGAACTTCAGGAAAGCCTATAGGAAAGATATGTACATGTTCTTTATCTGGTATTAATAGCTGAATTAAGATGGCCTCATATTTTCAAGATAGCTTTGAGAAATGAGCATTCAGTGGCATTATTGGGTCTGGGCTGAAGCGGGAGGGAATTGTTTCAATGTGCTTTGTGGACAGAGGAGTATTGTAAGCTTACAGTGATAAACTTGAGGATGGGTCACAATCTGGAGGACTTGAGCAAAGCACCATAATGAGAAGATGTTGAGCAAGCAGTGCTTTGTGTGATATCGGTGGCTTTTGTGACTACAGAATATAGCTAAATTGAGATTTAATTTCATGCCTTTCAGTGTTGTGATGTTAAATGATGTTAAATTCTCATTTTACAGTGAGAAAAGAGAGGCCTATTTTTTGTACATCTTAACAATTCCCGTGTCTCCTATCACAGAATCACAGAATCACAGAATTGTAGTGGTTGGAAGGGACCTCAGAGATCATCGTAGGTAAGAAGCCTCTAAAGGACAAGGCTTGAGGGACAAAAAGATAAAAAGCAAGTATTAGAAAAAAAAAAAATATATATATATAAAAAATTGTGTTTAGTGGATCTATGAAACCATTTAAAACCTAAAAATATGCAAATTCTACTCAGTAGTTAATTATTATTCTTAAAAAAAGAAATCAAGCAAGCATCTTTGTTTTGTTAATTGAGAGCATTTTAACTATTCAAATATCTAATCCAACTACCTTGTATGATTTCCTATGACACTTAAATATTGATACTCGTGGGGCTCTGCCTTTGAACATTCAGGAGTTTAACAATGTTTATCTTGCATGCATTTTATTATGTTTTAATTTTAAAAAAATATCACTATAAGGGTTTCTTCTGAACTAAACCATATTCTGTCTCAGCCTTCTGAACAGCCTAACCAAATTGTTTGCAGCATCCACCCTAAGTGAAAGTCAACCACCAAACTATCTGTCTGACCAGTGTTTTCCAATGCCCTCTTTATTGTATTATAAAATGAAATATAGTCTCTAGAGTGAAAGCAAAACAAAGGCTGTATATTCACATTTAGGTGGTATGGTCCACTTCTTCCCTATTTTACAGGTAGTTGTTAGTCATCTAGTAGCAACAAAACATGGGTTCCACCAATAACTAGGCTCATAACTATTCCTGCATTTTCCTCTAATGACACATGAGGATCCTGGGAACCCTTCATGTGACATTTCTGGAAATGATCAAAAAGCAGATGTAAATGGGTGCAGCCTTTGTTTATGTGACTGAGCCATTCGTAACGCTTTGGCTGTTCATGTCAGTTAATGGATTGAAATATGTTAATCAAAGATCTGTTTAATCCATGGGTTCATTTGCTGCTGAAATTTAGACTGCCTGACATTACCAGCAGTAGTAGCAATTTTCGGCTGGACTCACACTTGCTGTCTGTGCAACTGTAACAAAGCACTATTTCTCTTTTCTATGAGATTACATAAAGAAACTCATTGTTATTTACTAGTAACAGACGACCTCTTGGGCACAAATATGGTTTATGCATTTTATAGATTGGAAACCAAAGCACAGATCTGAGACATTTTGTCAAGGTCGTACTGTCTGTATCCAAGCCAAGGACTGCGTCAGGGTCATCATAGCCAGAACCATGTCCTCATTGGGTGTTTGGAAAAATTAATTGCTTTTGGAAATTAAACTCTTCCTGAAATCCTGCATCCTGGAACTCATGTGTCTCAGTAATCTGCCTAAAGCCATAAAATTACCATTTTCCTTAATTCTGCTTTTTATATAAAAAAAAGTATCAATTTATTCATTTCTCATGCATACACAAAATAAATACTGAACTGTACCACTGAGTGAAGTCAAGGACCAAACTTTTAATAGTGCCTTTGACAGGGCAACTGCTCAGTTGAACACTATGCACTCAGTGAGAAAAATGCATCCTTACTTACCAGAAAGTTTAAGGTCAAAATTAATGAAAGTAATTCCATTGTATCATTTAGCTAGAGGCAGAGAGGGAGGGAGGGAAACAAAAGATGGTAGTGACAAATTTGACTTTTACATTTCTTTTTCTATACTGTAGTGTTGCTAACTCAATAACTTAGCAGGGATATTACATTTGCTGATGTGCTGTCATTGGTAGTTTCAAAAAAACAGAGCAGCAGCTGGATTCCTGAAAAGGCTCACAATGAAAAGAAGCTGCAATGAGGTGGCAATGAGGCAGTGCTCCAAGTACACCAAATGCACCAAGACAGCAAGACTCACCTTACAAGTGTGAGGATTCCCAGCAAGGCCCAATCAGTGCAGCTGTACAGGAGATGCCAAAAGTAATCTTTGCATTTCTGCAACTTGGATTTATTTACTTACTTGGAGTTTGTAGTACAGGTGATATAGTTGATCGCTGTCTTCAGTTGATCACTGTATTATCACTACCACTGTATTCATAATATTGGTTAATGTTGTCTACATTCATATATTGTCAAGCTGTCTTCTTATTCTGCTACTGACATTCCATACAGTTTTCTGCACTTGTATTTCCACCAGACCTCCAGCTCTGGGCTGTGGCTATAGCCAGGACAGGGTGGATCTGCTAACAGCAGTGGATGGCAGATGAGGCGTTTGTAAGGCTGCTAAAATGAATGCAAAAAATAAATGCACTACAGTACCTTTTACAGTAGCAAGTACAGTACAGTAGCTACAGTAGCAAGTACTGGCAGTATTTTCTTACAAGAGGCTTCACCAAAGTTTGAAAAAAACCTGTCACGTTCTCTTTTACTTTCAAAATGAACATTTAAATACACTGTCTACCTCTCTGCACAGTCCCAGACAGCTGAAGGGAACATCTCTGACAAGATGGCAAGGGGAGCAAATGCAATGAATTCCTAGACACAGAAATAATTTCACACTAGAAGGCCTATGTGCTCATTGATTCAGGCTGCAAGAAGACTCAAGTGCCCTCACAGATCAAAGCTGGTCTATGTGGCCTGCGGTGTGACAGCCTACACTACTAACATGACCCATGGTCTTGAAAAACTACAAGTTACAGAATAACATGACAACTGTCAAGGGAAAGGTGATGTTAGTCATTGTGTTTGCCGTCACTTACTTGGCTTTCCACCTTGGCTATTTGTCATAGGTGGAAACACGGCGTGACACTAGTAAACTCAGTTTAAGTGGACCTTTAAACACACACAGAGACACATATTTTCTATGCATCTTCCAACACTATTTGCTGACAAAAGACTACATTCTACTTTGTCACCATATTGTCTTCTGTATATTATTTAAACCATTTTTACTGCAGAAGGAAGAACATATTTCCCCAATGCTACTTGGCTTTGCATCTTTTACAATCGAGAAGCCTCAAAAGAAGCTTTTAAACATTTATCTTTAAGTTTAGCAAAATTTTGTAAAGTACTGGATTGAGTACAACACACAACTTAAAAGCATGACTGAAAAAAATTGTAGAGGTTTGTCTTCATGTTCTGAATGCTTATTTTTTAAATATCTTACTAGCATTAGCTAATATCTTAAGGCACAATATACTAAGGGCAAGGTTCATCGTTAACAATAGCACATTTAAATGTGCATTTCAAATAGCCGCCTTCATGATTTCTTTTTTTTTTTATCAACTTCCTGTCAAGTGTAATTAGAGAGACATTTTTACCTCTTAACGGGGCTGATGAAGAGTTCATACTGAAGTAGGTTGTCAGCTTTGCCATTTTCTTGTTGTTTGCTTGTGTGTTATCTTCTGTCTGCAGTTTCTTTGCAAGGAATCTTTTTGAGCCGCCTGTCCATTTTGTGAGGGTTAGTTTGGGTAAAACTAAATATAATCCACAAATGTTCTTAACCAGGCACACATAAACCGCAATGCACTACAAAATGCTGAAAGCAAACGAATGAGTGAAGGTGCTTCTGTGAACACCTCCACATTGTGGAGCACCCACCCTCCACCCAGGACATGCATGGTCATACAGACCATGCACAGCCCAAGTGAAATTGCCACTGTCTAATGTGAATATTCAATATGAGTAAAACTTAGTTGTTGTTGTTTTTTTGGGGTTTTTTTTGACAAAAATAAATATAAATAGAAGTTTTAATATTTTCTTCCTGCCCCGCAATGGATCATCTTCCAAACCCCTTGGGGTGCATGCACCCCACTGTTCTAGAGGACCTTCAGCGGTGATTTACCTGGTCTTGAGCCATTGCCAATGCAACAACAGACCTCTGTCTGCTCAGGGAGTCAGCTCACCTTTGCTCTCTTCACACCTTATTCTAAAACAAAATATGTCCAGTACTTTGTTACAGAACTGCCAAGCAAAGATTTAACTGTTCTGAAATCTCCCTTATCATCCAGCAAAAGGAACAACAGAAGAAGTATTTGTTGAGTCATTTTGTTAGAGAGAAATCAACCCATATTAATACCCCACATAAATACTGAGATAGGCTCCTTTAACTATACACAAATACAGCATGCTGGTTTAGTTGATTTTTCATGACCTTAGTGGAATTAGATGAGGTTAAAGAAAAGCACCCTCTGAGATGAAGGCACTAAAGACCAATGCAAGATGACTCCTTGCTGCACAGTGCCAGGTCAGCTGCCCACACTGCCTTTCAAAAAATCTGAGAAAAGTGAACAGCAAGTAAAGAAATTGCATATCATTTACAAAACCCAACAGGTAAGAGGCAGTGAAAAACACTCCCCCACCCAGAGAGACATCAATGACACACAAACATGTTAGCAGTTTCCACACAGCAGCTGCAATGTGTTATCATCAGATCAACTGCCAAAAATTCAAGGTTCTGGCCCCATCAAGACACCATCACAAACTCTCCTAGAAAATGTAAGGGCGGCAGGTCCTGTTCCAGGACCTGAACCAAGAAGACATTCCCACCTCCGTTCAGAAATCCCAGTTACTTGCATCCCAGCATCTTGCCCTTCCAGCCAATGTCAGTGAGGCTCAAATCCCCCCACTGGCTCTGTGGTCTAGAGACTTGAGTCATTTAAAGGAGACTCCACTCACTTGCTCATCCTGATCAGGTGGTAAGGACACCCACCACTGCCATGACCCCAGGGTATTTTCCAGGCAAGTACATGGAGAAGAAGTGAGGAGCAGACAAAGCCAAACACACTCTACTTGCTGATAATCAAATTACCTGTGGGCTTTAATTCTTGTCTCAGTATGCCACCAAAGCCAGCCTATTTAAGGACACAATCGGTAATAAAAATAACAGTGAGATCAATATAGAATGGATAAAATGTAAGCATGAGCATTTGGATGGATAAAATGTAAACACATTTACAAAATGTAAATACATTTACAAAAATGGATAAAATGTGGATAAAATGTAAATAAAATCATTCAATAATAAAAAGAAAAAAACTACAAACTTCAAGACAGAACATTGGCTAACAAAGCACAGTGAAACAGGAAAAGCCAGGGAAGTTGAGCTGAAATCACTGGGTCAGTCGAGGGATCTTTCATTTCCAGAGCTGGGCTCCTTCATGCCATTTCCATTTATCCATATATGCCTCCAGCTTAAAGAGAAAAAAGGGGGAAAGGTGTGAAGACCAAGTCTCACACACTACAATGGCTCCTCAGAGCAGTGGACAGGCAATTTCGGAAAATCTGCCTCCCACAGCATCCCCTCCCCATCCCAGCTCCATGTCCTTGGCACCAAGCACTTATATCCACATGTAGGATACTTAATCACTCCATCCATGCACTGTGCTCTGAATGTCTCAGGGCATGAAACTTGCTGGTACAGCCATTTGCATTCAAATAAAATATAATCCCCAGAGAGATAGGTGAAAGTGCTTGACCACCATGACGACTGCAGTCAAATATTCATTGAATCATAGAACTGTCTATGTTGGAAGGGACCTTTAGGATCATCTAGTCCAACCATCAACCTAACTCTGATAAAAAACCATCACTAAACCATGTCACTAAGCACTATGTCAACCTGTCTTTTAAATACCTCCAGGGATGGTGCTTCAACCACTTCCCTGGGCAGCCCATTCCAATGCTTGATAACCCTTTCCGTGTAAAAATTTTTCATAATATCCAGCCTGAACCTCCCCTGGCACAACTTGAGGCAATTTCTTCTTGTTCTATTGCCTGTGACTTGGAGAAGAGACCGACCCCTGACTCTCTCATGCAGTTGTAGAGGGTGATAAGGTCTCCCCTCAGCCTCCTTTTCTCCAGGCTGAACAACCCCAGCTCCCTCAGCCTCTCCTTATAAGACTTATTCTCCAGACCCCTCACCAGCTTCATTGCCAATCTCTGGACCCACTGCAGCACCCCAATGTCTTTTTTGCAGGAAGGGGCCCAAAACTGGACACAGTACTCAAGGTGGGGCCTCACCAGTGCTGAGTACAGGGGGACAAACACCTCCCGAGTCCTACTTAGCACGCTGTTCCTGATAACAGGCCAGGATGTTGTTGGCCTTTTTGGCCACCTGGGCACACTGCTGGCTCTTGTTCAGCCGACAGTCAACCCATACCCCCAGGTCCTTTTCTGCCAGGCAGCTCCAGCCACTCTGCCCCCAGCCTGTAGCGCTGCATGGGGTTGTTGTGACCCAAGTGCAGGACCCGGCACTTGACCTTATTGAACCTCATCCCACTGGCCTCAGCCCATCCATCCAGCCTGTCCAGATCCCTCTGCAAAGCCTTTCTGCCCTCCAGCAGGTCAACACTCCCACCCAAGTTGGTCTCGTCTGCAAACTTACTGAGGGTGCACTCGATCCCCTCGTCTAAGTCATTGATAAAGATGTTAAAGAGAACTGGCCCAAATACCGAGCCCTGTGGGACACCACTCGTGACCGGCCACCAACTGGATTTAACTCCATTGACCACCACTCTCTGGGCACAGTTCTCCAGCCAGTTTTTAACCCAGCAAAGTGTGCTCCCACCCCACAGGCAGCCAATTTCTCCAGGAGGAGACTGTGGGAGACTGTATCAAAGGCCTTACTAACGTCCAGGTAAACAACATCCACAGCCTTTCCCTCATCCACCAAGCGGGTCACTTTGTCATAGAAGGAGATCAAGTTTGTCAAGCAGGACTTGCCCTTCGTGAACCTGTGCTGGCTGGGCCTGATTGCCTGGGTGTCCTTCACGTGTCACATAATGGCACTCAAGATGATCTGTTCCATGACCTTCCCAGGCACCAAGGTGAAACTGACAGGCCTGTACTTCCCTGGATCATGCTGCTCACCCTTCTTGTGGATGGGCATCACATTTGCTAGATGCCAGTCAGCTGGGACCTCCCCAGTTTGCCAGGACTGCTGGTAAATGATGGAAAGTAGCTCAGTGAGCACTTTTGCCAGCTTCCTCAGTACCCTCGGGTGGATCCCATCTGGCCCCATAGACTTGTTTATATCCAGGTGTTGGAGCAGGTCCCTCACCAGCTCCCTTTGGATGACGGGGGATTTATTCTGCTCCCTGCCCCTACCTGCTAGCTCAGGGGTCTGGGTATCCAGGGAACAACCTACCCTACTACTGAAGACTGAGGCAAAGAAGAAATTCAGTACCTCAGCCTTTGTCACTATGTTACCTCCCACATTCAATAGAGGATGGAGATTCTCCCAAGTCCTCCTCTTTTTACTAATATATTTATAGAAATTCTTTTTATTGTTTTTAACATCCATGGCCAGGTTAAGTTCTAGTTGGGCTTTGCCCTTTTTAATCTTTATCTTTTCCCTGCATAGCCTTACAACACCTTTGTAATCTTTCTGAGTGGCCTGCCCCTTTTTCCAAAGGCCTTAAACTTTCCTTTTTTCCCCTGAGTTGTGACAATACTCTTTGTTCAGCCATTGTTTCCATCGTCCTGCTATGCACTGTACAGTTCTCTGGAAAAAGTAGTTCCATTATTTGCCTGTAGACTTCACACTGGACAACCGATGCTCTGAAACTGTTAGTACCAGCTGAGAGCCCCTGAGAGCCCACTCCCTAGGAGTCTTTCCAGCTCAGGTATGCCAGTCAACGGCTTCTTGGGTACTGCCCCTCAATGCCTGCAGCTTGCAGGATGCTCCCACACCCTGACTCCTCCTCAGGTGCTTCCCCAGGGAATCTAAATACCTTCCCATTGGCTTCAGCACTAAAAATGCAACAATGCAGCAAATAAGTTGTGGCTGGAGTGGAGGTGACTTACCTCTTGGCTTGCACCGTGGATATTCTAATCTCCCCTCTATACATTGCACCCTGAAGGGGGAGGACGCTGGGTCCTCCGAATATCCTCTTCTACACTGAAATTCAATGTAGTCACCCGATGTGGAATACAGCTTTCGTCTTTCAAGCCATCTCAGCTTAATATTGTTTCTGGCCATGTCTTCTTCAGATGCAGTACAGGCCACTTGAAAAAGGCAAGAGAAGAATGTCACCACTTCATATAGATGCACCATGAATAACTTTTTTCCCCTAGAGCCTACAGAAGTTCTTTACATCACAAAATGCTTCCAGCTTTGCAACAGAAACAACATTCACATCCAAGTAAAAGGGAAAAAAGTCGATGGCTGAAAACCCACACAGAAGCCTTCTTACTCTGACAGCACACAGGGCAAGATCAAAGCATGGCTAGCGGAAGTCACCAGGCACCAATGAACTTCCCTGTGTCTTTTTTGAGATTCCCCCTTCACCTCTGCTGAGCACTTCTCTAAATTTGTTTCCTCATGGCCATGTCATGGACTCACCTCCAGATTTCCCCAGCACTCCACACACTCAGACCCATCCTCCCAGCTCACAGCCTGCTGACCACAGCAGTGTCTCCAACTCGGGAGCATGTGGAAGTCCTGCATGGTGATGGCAATCCCCTCACACAGGGGAGTTCAGCCAAACTCCCTCCTGAAACCGTTGGTGTGGACAAGGGAGAGCAGGCAGCAGAGGGGACTACATGAGCTAACTTCAAAAAGAAACTCCTTCTGGACAAAAGAAGGACTCATTATTGTTCTGCCCTGCTGTCATCGCAGAGCCAGCACAAGTGTTGCTGTACAACTGATGCCCTCAGGCATCAGAGCAAAAGAAAACTGGAGCAGTCATGCAGTCTTTGGCCACACAGCATGTGCTTCAACCTACCCAGGCAAACTGGGGGGCTTGTCCACTGTCCGTTAGTACACGTGATATAGTGAGATCCTTTCATGACATACATATTTGGGCATTTGTATTCCACTCTTTCACCATGTGAATATTCGTTCCTGGGGAAGGAACAAAGGTCTCCATTTTCAATAACTGGAGGTGGTCCACATTTCCTACTTCTACCTGAAAGAAAATTCCCAATCAGAGAGAAAGCCATGACAGTTTAATTGCAATGGAGGCCTGGCACAAATCTACAAGACAATATGTGTGCACTAGTCTGAGAGACCCGGAGGAAAGCAGAGAAAACCAAATACCTGGCAGGTGAAAAAGAGCAAGAGTTTCTCATTTCTCCAGTGCTGGAACTCACAAGTGCCAGTTTACCCCGTTTGTCCCCAGCTGAAGTGCCTGTAGATGTCTGCATGACTTTCTCTCACCCTGCATAGTGGTGTAGCATTTGGCAGAGCTCTTTCTGCAGAAGAACCTGACACCCACCTCCTCCCTGTACTGCCTGAGCATTGAGAAAAGCAGAACCAATTGCAAACGATAACAACCGTCACTGAACTGCAAAACTGTATTCACTAATGGGATAGCCCTTGGGCTCACTTATTGCTACTGGAGAGTTCACACATGCCAACCCTGAAGCAGTGCTACCTCACAGATTTTTTATACCTACTCAAGCATCACAATGCTGCCAAGTTTGGCCTTCCAACAGACCTGCACTGGGAAATCTTCAGAGAAGACCCAGATCCCTTGGTACCAGCAATGACACTCTTTGCACTTGGCACTGTGGTCTACAGCCACAATATGGAGTCTTAATATGGTCTTAATTCATCTGCTGTTTCTGCACCCCTTTCAGTTCCCAGCTGGGTAGCATTTGAGTCAAATGCTGCTGCGTTGGCTCATGTGCTGAAACTTTCTGTATGTCTCATGAAAACAAATGAGATTATTCAATGCACTCGTGAAATCCTAGGAGGCACCAACAAAGTACCAAGGTATCAGCTCACGCATCAAATTCTGCCTTCAGTTGATTTAATGGTTCATTTGACTCCAGAGCACTCAATATAGCAATGCATCATCTGCATTATCCGGTTGTCAACTAGCAGGGAAGCTATGGGCTCTATTCTCCAACATGAATGGCAAAATTTCTCAATCTCTTCTTATCAGGAAGGCACAGCGAGAAAATTCTAAGAAGTCTAAGGCTTGTGTCTCATAATTAGACCCAGCCAGCAACTGCTCTCAGCCACAGGGTGATTTTCCAGATAGAGACCTCTCAAGTGAAGCCAGCTGGGTCACTCAGCTGGTAAGCTCATCTGACGAGATAACTGCGAAAATGTCTTTTTCCTGAGTGTGCCAGATATGTTGTGTTTGTACACAGTAATGAGACTGAAATTTGGAGAAGTAAATGACACAGAGTCAGCTTCATGACAGTCTCACTGACAAGTGACTGTATGAAGAGAGAGAGAAATTACCTTTGCACATTGGCAGCTCTGTCCAGTTCCCATTCTGACATGCTACAGTGGAAGCCCCAGTCATCTGAAAACCTTGCCAGCACTTATAGCTAGCACTCTCTCCAGGCATATACGTTGACTTTTTAACACCGTCAACTTTACCACCAGCAATTTCTGGAGGAGGTCCGCATGTCACAGCTGAAAAAAGACACCACTGCAGTCACTTTTGCAGGTACATAAAGAAAACAAAAGTAAAATAGATAGTCTTTAGAGTATTTAGGTAAACAGTCCCCTCTCCGCTAACTGGCAAGATGAAAGCACAGATTCGTACCTCCACAGGTTGGTGCTTGTGACCATTCTCTCTCTATACAAGTGACATAATTTTCACCCATCATTTGAAGATCGCTTGTACATTCATAATGCACTCTGTCGCCAGGAAGATACCTCTCCTGCTGAGGACTTGTAATATAAGCATTGGGAATTTCAGGTGCAGCTCCACAGCTAACATCTGGAAAGAGAGGCGCATTTAAGAATAGTAGTGCAGCAATATTACAACCACAGAATACTGTATTCTGAAGCAACATTGCTCCTGATGAGCAAAAATGGTTTGTGTATTGCAGATCATTTTCTACAAGTAGAAAAGGAAGATTATTCTGCAGCACTTTACCAGTCAATATTATTTTTGCCTAGAGTTACTAAGAAGAGAAAAGGAGCTGCTGAGATCAGCCAAAGGTGCAGATTGGTGCCGTACAGCATTGTGTGCCAAAGGGCTGCAGAGTGAAGTAATTTGTTTACTATTGTAAAGTAACTTTCCGAAACTGACATTCTTAGTGATGAAGAATGTCTTGTAATATTAAAGAATATTAAAGAGTATCTTATTTTATTCTTAATAACCTAAAATACCTTACCACTTATCTCCTCCTTTGCAGCCAGCATCCATTCCCCCATAACCCTCTCTCTGTTTGATTTCAGCAGTGAGCTAATTTTCAGCTAGTAGCTTTAGCCCACAGGGAAAACAATTTCTTTGCTCGTCTACCCTGCTTGTTGTTTCTCAGGAGCCAGAAAAATAGGTGTTGTAGCAGCCCATTCAGAGCAAGGCACTGGCCTGACTCACGTGCCTGAGTTGACATTATTTTAATTCACAGCATGAAAGACTAAGACTGATCATAGACTGCTTCGAAGTAGAACCTGTACCATCACAGAAGGGTGGTGCTGTCCAATTTCCTTCTCTGCAAATAATTTCAGGGGGACCAACAAGCAGGAACCCTACATCACACTGGTAGCGAATTGTTTCACCAGGCTCATAAGTTTTCTTGTCTCTGCCTTCAACTTGAGCATCGGCAACTTTTGGAAAACTTCCACATGACATTTCTGAAAAGATACAGAAAGTTGATGCTTATGCTAATGTGAAACACACAGAATGAGTGTCCAATTTCCATCCAACAATTGCTTTAGAGAACTTTTTCTAACATCAGCACAGTCATCCATTGACAATGAATTTTATTTAATCTTCCATATGCTATCATTTATATAAGTCATTTCCCTAAACAGATATGGACTTCAGTCACTGCAATATTTACAACCTGTTTCTAACCATGCCAGAAAACTTTAATAAAGGCTTCTGTCCCTTACTACACAGAAGTGGTTTCCATCACTGGAGCACCCAAGCAACTCCTAGTCACTAGTGTGTTCTGTAGAAAACAGAACCTTGGATTATGATGATGTGCCCAGGACTTACCTGGCAGAGATACAAACTGAACAAAGATTGCAAGAATACAAAGAAATATTTAAAATCTAAACTGCACTCAAAAAGTCAGCCTTGCACCAATCAGGATTGCTCTGAAGACATCCATGAGGGATGATAAGACACAGCAAAATATGGAGTTATTGGCTCTTACTAGCCAAGCTGCAGTTTAAAAGTATTTCAATTTCATTGCTAAATGCACTTCAAAAAAAGTATTTTTGATATTACCCAAGCATGTAGGAGCTGAAGTCCAGTTTCCCATAGAACAAATTATCTCTGATGGTCCAGCTAACATATATCCAGAACGAGAAACATACTTAAATCTAGCACCAGCCAGATAAATTGTTTCCCCTTCTTTTTGAATTTTTAAGTTTGGGTTTTCCAGCACGGGAATGTCAGCACATTCTATGGGTTGTGGTGGCAAACAGGGTCTTTCTATAAAATATAGAAAACACAAATAAATAATAATGCAAAACAATTAATATCCAGTGATGCATGCTGTCTAAAATGGAAAAGAAAAAAAAGCCAATAATCCAAACATAAATGAAATGGTTTGAAAGGAAGATGAATAAATATCTAGGATATACAACACAAAACTACTGTCTCCTTCCCTTCTACACGGGATTTCTTTCTTTTCCTTTGAACCAAATTAAAGCCATTTTCCAGTTCATATGAAGGAGATACAGTTACAGCTTAGTATCAAGAACAGGGAAAATTTCACAGGCAGAGAAATAAAAGAGATATTATCTTGTTCTGTGATACCGAAAACGAGTTTCTAGAATATTAGCTATTAAATTTTTCCACCATTAATAAAGTTGTACTAATGTCCTGAGGTGTTTTGTGATGACATGATGAAAAAGAGAACAGAACTTAACAAAGTATTATAATGTATTTCTGAATACATATAATGGATTAAATCTCTATGAAGTCATCCTCAGTCAGGCCTGTTCGATGCTTTCTTCTCCTATACTACTGTAGAGTGGGTAGACTTAAATTATATTTTATATGCATTTTTAGTTAATTAATAAATTAGGTTTTATTAGCTGACACATCAATTTGAAAGCATATGTTTGCTCTGAATTCCACAATACAAAATGTCTAATTACAGTCAAAGTTCCTGTTCAGTAACTGGGACTGGGAATTTTATTTCAGTAAAAGTTGTTTTATGAACAGTTCAAGCATATTATTTTTTGTTATTTTTCTCCATGTCTGCCGCTTATTAGCAGAAATGGAGACTCAAAGGCAATGCAAAAGAAGAGAAATCTCATGACATCAGAATATTGCAGTTTAAAAATATAGACTTAGTTGGCACATTCTGCACATCAGTCACCAGCTGGCACCTCATTTTTCCTGTACTCATCTGTCTCCTACTCATTTCTTCTACCTCTTACTGAATTTTTGCTTACAAGATATCACCTGCATCGGTAATATTTTAACAATTGGATAAGAGATTCTTCAGTGTTTCCTAGAATAGATGGCCTGAGTCATATGCCATATCATTTCTACTCTTATTACAGGAAGAAGCCACAAAAAGAAAAAGAGAAAAATCAAGAAAGAATAAAAATGAAAAAAACCCCAAGATTGCTACTACTACAACTAAATAATACATAATACTGATTTTTTTCACCAGCATACTATTAAAGGCCCCCAGGCAAAACTGAGACTCCATTCTGCAGTATACTAAACAAACAAACACACAGCTCTTGTGGGAAAGTTTTACATGAAAGTTTTATATGCCATCTTAGATAAGTATGTGTAAATAAAAAGACTTACTGTCCAGCAGTTGGTTAACTGCCCTTTCTTAGCAACTTACACTCTATTGCCTTGCTGCGGTTACCTGTTCATGATAATCTTAACATAAATAATATCATCCTCCTGGAATTGATGACTGCAAAAAGCGTAACACAGAAATTCATATTAAAAGAAATAGAAAAAAAAAATCCACTACTGACCCACGCAGTAAGGTGGTGACTGCCATTTTCCTTCTATACACATTATCTCATTTTCACCAATGAGCTGGAAATTCTTCTGACATGAAAAAGTTATTTTACTCCCATTCTTGTAATTTCTTCCAGCTGTTATCTGTTGAGCATGAGGCACCTGAGGTGGAGGTGGGCAGGTACTATCCTCATCTAAGGACACATATTCATGTTATAATAGGGCATTACATAAAATGTAACAGTTCATCACAGATTACAACACTAGCAACTAAGAAAACACTGGTGATAATTCTTCAGTAGCTATCTCAAGCTTTAATTAATATCACGATCATTTTGTTCAGCTTCGGAAATGCCAGAGCTGCCTTCAGATGCTCATAAGCTTTCAACCTCATATAAAAGATAGTCACAGTTGCCTACACCAATCTAAGCTGAAGCTACTTACAGTCCCTTTCTCTCTCACACGCAGCTGCACACTCCTGTGTGCTCTCCCTGTTCCTCTCTCTATTGTGACTTAGTTTAGGAAATTAGGTGAATTAGTTTAGGAAAACTGGACTAACTTCTGGGGTTCTTGTTTTGCTTTTGTTCTATCATTGTTTTTTTCTTCAGACCTAGCTGATAACAGAGCTAACAGACAAAAAGAAACAAAGAAATAAACTTCAATTTTCCCACTCAAGACACAATGGGCTGCTCCCGCCAAAGGTAAGAAAAAGTGAGGGAAGGAGGTAGATCTAGAAAAGAGGAGACATAAGAAGGAGGAGACCTCAAGAGCTTGGTTTGTTGCTTCTAATGGTTCCAGAAAATTGGGAAGGTAGGGACACTTGATTTTGAAAGAGAATGCTCCCTCAAGTGATTGCTACCTTGTACTTGCTACCTTGTACTTCCCCCACTTCGAGGCATCATTTCCCGCAAATCTGACATAACAAAAGTAGGCAATGAGGCAATGATTGTTTTACAATGATGCCTTCTACAGGCAATATCCTGCAGGCATCTGGCCTTTGGAGTGTATTAGATAAGGGCAGTCTCCTCTAGCTCTGTGCTTTTGAGTTGGCCAGCTCAGCTTTTTTCTTGTTGTTTCACGCGGAAGCAATTGAAAAAAACAGAAGGAAAAGAAAAGAAAAAACAGGAATAGAAAAGTTTTGAATGTTTAAAGAAAATAAGGGAACTTTGGCTGGAGCTTGAGCTATGTGCTACTCTCACTGGCGCCATGGTAAAGGCCTTTTGAAGAACTGAGATTAAATTTACCATTGCATCTTTTCTCACATCAGAAGTGACAACTGTTCCATTTCTCAGAGCACAGATGATTAAATCTGCCTCACTAAAATACCGCATCTCTAAACCTAGTTAACTGTTCAAAAATTATTCCCTTAATTATTCATGACTATCCTGAAGCATATAAAAAAGTAAGCATACATATATAAGCATGCAAGCATTTCCATTTCAGGCTAATGACACAGCAATAACAATCATTTATCATTACTACATAAAAAGAAGAAATTGTATGCAAATCTAAAAACATACCTGTACATTCAATTTCTGGTAACCATTTTCCAGACACACACGTTGCCTGTTTAAAACTTTTGTCAGCTGATGTACATGTATAATTTATAAATCTATGGAACCTAGTCTCCTGTTTTGGCCTGAAAGGCGGACCGTTTCCATTGCGCACAAGCTCCACATGCGTTGGAACTACACACTGAGGATATGGATCTGAAAATAATCAACAAAAAGAGATAAAAATAGATTCAGTTAATATGTACATACTTATTCAGTGATGAAGAGGTCATCAGTTTCCTAATGCTACTTTATTGCAGGTATGTCCCAAGGCTTCTAAAGAGTTGTTACCAGGGAGGAACACTGGAAAATGGGTAAAAGCCACTGTACACCAAAGATGTACCCCCATACTTGATTTTACCCACTGTGCAAGTGTCAGCTTCTTTCGCCAAACCTACTCAGAGTGCTTACAAAGTTATAAGTGCAGAGTCTTTCCAGGATGAAGGACATGTTCACATTTAAAAGAGGAGTAAATAAAAAACTTAGCTGAGATGCATGAAACTATAGTATCTCTGGCTACATTCTGATTGCTGAAGTCCTTTAGATTTTGAATAGAACTATGTTACATGTGAAATATTATGGAAATATGATGGAAATAGATTACCAGCACAAAGAGGCAAAGGCTTCCATTCCCCATTAAGACATGTTATTGTCATTTTCTTAGAACTGCCAGAGGCTTGTTTACATCCACAAATTACTTCAGCCCCGTGCAAAAACTGTGTCTGGTCTTCCTGATGAAGAACAACATTTGGAATAGAGGAAGGTGATCCACATGGCATTTCGTCTTCTGTTGAGAAGAGCAGAAGTAATCCACAATGATATTGGAGTCATATATGAATAGCTGAAAGAACTTAAATAAAAAGAACTATATTTGCATTTAGTGACCCAACACAGCTGAGTATGTATATGTTTTAGTCAGTTTACAAAGTCCCTCTCCTGTCTTTTCCCTTCCTTTTCCATCTCTGCGGTAACTCCACGGCACGCTCCACAAGTAGCTTCAGCTAACACTAATTTCCCAAATTGTTTTTCATTGGTACATAAACCCTAAAGGGTAAGAAAACCTTCAAGTAATCCAACTCACCAGGATCCCTGATTCTGATCAGTCAAAAATTATATTTGATTAAACACCTACACATTTGTAATGCGTACTTTCAATTAGTATTATTACAAGAACTGAAAACCACTGCAACATCACTTAGTGGGCTGCAGCCCTGTCATCGCTATGTACTAACAGCAGTTCTTGCTTTGGGCTATCACTACTGCCATGATAGTGACAGCAAAGGTCAATGGCTTTCACAGATGAGTGCAGTATGTGAATAGGTTTTTTTTCTGAAGGAAGAAAAGGCCATGTAAGGGGAATAAGTCCATATGGCCTGCTCTTAATGTGGGAGAGGGAAGACGCATGATAAACTCAAAAATTGAATTTCAACAACCCAGCACTCAAGTTTGGACCACTCTTCTTTCAAGCCTGTGCACCAAAACTGTTCTCACTGGATCAAGGACTGAAAAGATGAAAGCTTCATACTGAACTTTTTTAAACCATCAGCGTTGCTCACAGAAGACGTCAGAATGTACATATATAGGAACAGAGTGAACTATTCCATAAAAACTCACCATCTATTGGTTGTGCTGTTAGATGATCATGAGCTATAAAAATGTCCTGAAATATTTTCTGTATTTAAAGATTTTCAGCTTGACTATTCCATTCTACTTCAATTCTGAGACACTGCCTTAACAATCAAATCGTAGTTTTGCACAAGTATTTTTTAATTCCTTTCACTGAAATTCATACTCTCAGGCTTGAGGTACACTACCTAATGACATGCACAGAAAGTGGGTGCTTTTGCTTAGTCAGGAGACTTGACTCTAGAACTATTCACCATTCCAATACGTGGACTATAAAAAACTGTTGGAGCATCTGACTCCAGCCTAGGGAAGACAGCAACATAGACAATGCATTCATAGTTATCGTGTTTGTAACCCGGTGCCCCAGTGTTGCCATTGCTAGAAAGTGGCCACAGAGTTTGTACTGAGCTCGCAGGACAACAGGATGGATGCTTATCAGGCCTACATTATCAAAACTGGTCCCGACCTGCCTAGGCTTGGTTTTACTTGTCCTAGCTGTAACAGCAATTTTTCTAGTGACCAGACTATAGCTATATATTTTACTTTTAGTTATCTCTGCATGGAACAACCATAGAAGTAACAAGACTTTAGTCTCTGTAGAGTAATTATGCCTCTAACATAATGATGCAGGTGAATAGAGGGCAGGTATAAGAGAATCTTTGAGAAGTGGGGACAAAGGTTGGGTGTGGCAGAGTAGAGGGATGGAGATGGCATAGCCCAGGACCCTGAGGCTATGAATAGCTCACAAAATGCCAGCATAGACCTGGAGCTGATCAAAACTGGTTTTAGGGGTAATACAAAGATCAAAGAACAAGTATTTAACATATTTAAAACACACTTAATATATCTAATTCGGAACATGTAGACCAGTAAAAAAAGGGCAAGTAAAAGCATGCTAGCAAACCTAAAAAATACCCTAAGCAGATCCTGTAAGGAGGAAGAGGAAACCATCAGCATCAACATGTCTTTCCTCCCAGTGAATGACTTCAGATAACTTGCTGTAACTTCACTTGAAAACATACCAGACTGAATCCATTGACTTTAGGACCCAAAGGGGCAGTGGAAGGGTGAGCATAACACCAAAATGGTAAAAAGAATAGCATGTATATAATAATTGTAAACAGATATTATAAACTGTTTGCATTGCTTAGATATGCAGTATTGTTTATATATTTATAATTATTCTTTACATATTAGGTATTTATTTTCTTTCTCTTTCTATAATAATTTGATCTGAACTCACAACAATTCTTTGAATGGACTGTTAAGATTTCAATTATAGTACTAATAAGGTTTTGGATTTACATACATTGTGCATTTATTTTTCATTCATAACATGATTTCGAATGTCACATGTTATACCTGCAAATCTTCAATTTTAATTTTGAAAATATCTGTGAACTATTAGCATACAGTGAATTACAGACTTCTCACAAGTAAGAGTTGTATAGATTACCAATGCAAGAGGGAGGAGATGACCATTGTCCATCAACACATTCTATTTCCTTCGATCCAACCAATTTAAATTTGGTGTTGCATTCATATTGCTTTCTGTCCCCATGCCGATAATGTTCCCCAGAGCCATCAGCAATAATTCCATTGGTAATCTCAGGTGGAGGTCCACAGTCTCTGGCCTTCACTGAAATCAAGAAATCAAATCTATGCTCTGAACTCAGTACTTTTAGTACAGTTATATGTTAAATGAAACATAAAATAAATTGAATTTGTTGTTTAAAGTTAAGAAAAATCAGTAAAACAGGTTAAACAGATGATTGGTTTATGCCTTTGAATATCTGGATTTATCCTGGGCTGGAGATCACCAACAGATATGCATGACCCTGGTTCACTCTATCTTTTACTTCCATGCACTGCCAATTGCCTGCTATGATAAATGAAGTGGCTGATAAAACCAACTCAGTTTTAAAAAAAAAAAAAAAAAAAAAAAAAAAATGTAAAAAGGGAAAAAACTTCAAATTTTTTAAAAAAAAAAAAAGAGAAAAAGGCAGTTGAATATGTTCTTCCTCTGTGAATCAGATTACTCCCACTATAGGGTTAGCTGAGTTGCTTGCTCACAGGCACAGGCTGCCAGATAAACAGAGAGCACTTCCTAGCATATATAGTGCTGTTACTCCTGCAAATTTTAGTACTCTCATCTGCAGCGATGG